AAAAGGGGAGTCTCACTACCACCAAGGAAGAGATGGGAGTGGATCCAGGATCCCTGTGCTGAGAACCTCCTAGGTCTAGGAGACAGAGAGAGCTGTAACACTGGAGACAGAGAGAGATGGTGAGAAGCAGCAGCAGAGGAGTGGAGAAAACAGAACCAATAAAGTGGCACAAGGCAGCTCAGTGGGCTTCCTGGCCCATGGAGTAAGGTGATTACAGCAGGTGTACCAACCCAGGGAGGGAGGGAGCTGAGAACCATCAGCATTAGGTTTGCTGGCAAAGTAGGGTGTCAGGCACTTGTCAGTGGAGCTAGGCTTGCCAAACCACAGAGCTAGAGAACTGAGTGCCTTTGGGCTGAGGCTTACTGGTGGAGTACAGTGCCTCTGGGCACTTACAGGGAGAGGTAAAGAGCTTTGTAACACTTGCCCAGGCAGAGCAGAGGCTGGGCCAAGGGGCTGAGGGCCACATAGAGACCTGCCTATAGGCATAGCTGAGAAGAGGTTATCCTGATCAAAGAACTGTTTCCTGAATTGTAACCTGTAAATTCCTTAATAAACTGTGAGTGTAGTCTGTGAGTTCTGTGTGGCCATTGCAATGAATTATTGAAGTCAGCAGAGAAGTCGAGAGTGCCAAAGGAGGGATGCCTGGTGTCAGAATTGGTAAAAGATTGAAGAGGGGAGTTATGTCTGACCTCCACTTCATGGGCATCAACCTTGGGCTGATGCTGATTCCCTTGTGAAGTTAGTCAAGGAGGTCTGACACCTCTGCCATGACGTTTTTACCTGGCAAAACAAAAACAAAGTTGCTGATGAAAATAAGGTTGCTAATCATCTGACCTTAAAATAGGGAGATTATCCTGGACCATCCAGGTGGGCCCAGTGCAATCACAGGGGCCTGTAAAAGTAGAAAAGGAAGACAGAAGAGGTGAGAGGACGTGAAAGAAGATGACAGAGCTATGGCTCAAAGCACAGGGATACAGACACACACGAGCACACAGGTACCACGGGTGGGCACACTGACCTGGGCGTTGACCAGCTGGATGAGCTTGTCAAGGTTCTTGAACCACATGTTGGCATTTTCATACTGGAAGTCCGAGCCCATGGTCATTATGGTGTGGTTGGTGCGGTAGTGCCGGCCCTGCAGGTAGGAAAGGGGAGTCCTCAGGCTAAGTGTTCTGGGCCACCCACTGTGTACAGCTGGGTATATAAGCAGTCAAGGGTGGATAAAAGAAGAAACTGTGCAGAGGGGCAGGGAGTCTATGGGAACACCGTATGGCTTTGCTGTAGACCTTAAGCCATCCTAAAAAATGAAGTCTGTTAATAAAAAAAAATTTTAAAACAGTGGACAGTGGCATGTGGCAGCATAGGTACACACACATAAGAATAGTCAACAGTTATTCATGATTTTCTGTGAGCTGACCACACAGATGAGGGCATGAAGGCATCGTGGCAGCCCGTGTCATGGTCATAGTGAGCATGTGCACTGGCGAAAGGGCTTGCACGCTCTAAACAGGAAGGTACCCAAATCCAGGACAACATGGTGATGGTGAAGGGGATGCTACCTTCTTCACGGGGCTGTGAGAAAGTATTAGGAAATTCCTGGGTTGTGGGAAGGGCCCTGAATTATCGACACTAGTCCTGTGCTCAGAATTCTGGGGTTACCTGAACAGCAGCCAACTGCAGGAAATAGCTGACCAGCTCCTTGGCATTGTACTCAGGGCTACGGGGGTCGTCCACCACGGGTTTGTCATCACAAAGTGTGTCCCAGCACAGATCGTCTGGCGGGTTGTACGAGTTGGGGAGCACACCTGCAGGCCACACGAGGGTCAGGGGGTAGCCCAGTACCCTAAGCCTGCCATAGGAGTCAAAGCCTACCATCCCCCACCTGAATTATAAATAGAATTTATGAGACCCAAAGGAAAATGAAAATGCTGGGCTCTTGTTCATAAACTATTAAGAATTTCAAGACAGTGACAGCAGAGCATTAAGTCAAGTGCACAGGTCACACAACCATGACGTCAACCCTCTATCTGCTCACCAGTGAAGAGGTCTGCAGCCGGAGGCTTCAGGCTGGCACTAGCCCGCCACACCTGCTCCATCTCCTGCATCTTCTCCCGAACCTTCTTATCTTGATAATCCAGGCGCCCAAAGAAGAAGCCATCGAAGCCCATCTGAGGGTCAGAGCACAGGAGCAGGCAGTCTGAACCAGTGCCCAACTCTCTTATCACCAACCAAGCCCAAACCCAGCTTGGCAAAGGTGGGTCAGAGCACAGGCAGAAAGCAGGTCTGAAAGTAGGGAGGCCTCTAGTCCATTTCCAAGCTTAGGAAAGAGTCAGAACCACTGAAGGAGAGCAGGGAGGGGGCGGGAACCCACCACCCCCTTCATCCTTGGGAGAGAGAACTCTGCACAGTGGATAGGGGCCAGGCCTGATTCATGGAGACCTTCCCTCTTCTGCAGCCTGAAGAGGGATGGGTCAGGGCATAGAAAGGCGATAAGGTCAGGACACAGCTGATGAAGCCAGCTTAGAAGCTAGGCAGGCCTACACCTGCCACCAAGCTTGGGAAGAAGCTGGGATCACAGCAAACAACATGGGGCTGAAGCATGGCATAGAGTCACATCAGCTTGGGGCTGGGTCACCAGCGGGGCTCCTGCCAGAGCGGGAAAAGATAGGGAGTCACAGCTCAGCCAAGGGGCAGGGCCTCAAGGGGCCAGGGGTACGGCCTAGTTAGTGTGGGATCAGTGAAAAGGTGAGTTTGAGTGGCCATGGGAAGTATCAGAGGGAGTAAGGGGTTGAATCCAAGAGAAGTCTAAAGTAGCACCTGTGCAAACAGTGAGGCCTGCTCGCGTGAGTGGCCAAAGGGGTCGATGTGCCAGGCCACAAGGGGGCGCCCATAAATGCCGAACGTGTCCTCCAGGAAGCGAAGTCCCAGCGTCATCTGGTCCACGATGGCACCATAGTGGGTGGCAGCTTCATCATTCATCACCCAGCCGCCATTGGCAAACTCCAGGCGCCCTATGCCAGAAGGGACACAGTGAGGGTCAGGAGTCAGGGCCAGGAGTAGGGCCAGGTGGGTGATGCTGGGGGATGGGAGGACTGCATGCTCAGGCCTAGAAGGAGAACAGGGGTGACCCCTATGCCAGTGTAGCCAGTTCTGGGACAGAGGGCCCCTGTGTAGCAGGCTTCCCAGAGGATCCACTGGGAAGGATCCATAGGAGTTCTCCAGATAAAGTGAAATTCCAGCAAGCAGACCACATGCAGGCACAGCCTGCATGTGGCATGGATATAATATTAGAAGGCAGGGTGGCAGAAACGGAAGCTGAGCTAGGCTTCCTCATTTCACTTTCTGAGAGCAGGCTCACCCTGGCGAACCAGGCCCCGCACAGTCTCCTGTGTTGCCTTTGTTTGCTGATGCCACCATCGGGAGAAGAAGGCGATCTCCACGTAGATGAAGCGGCGGGTGGGGTTGGCCAGCAGAGCTGTGACTACTGAGTCCAGGATGTACTGCACACCTGCATGCTGGATGTCATTGCGGACTATGGGCACAGAATCAGGCAATCAGGGCAAGAAGGACCCAGGAGAACACCCCTGGACACAGGGGCCCAGGCTGGGCATTGTCCCACCCCAAGGTCCAGGGCTCACAGGGGATCTGAGGGGCTTAAGGACAATGGAAGTCCCTGGTACCCATCCCCACCCTCTACTCACTGCCGTAAAAGTACTGGTCCACCGTCTTGAGCCAGCCCACGTCATCATGGGTGTGGGCCACCAGGTGCACGTTGAGCATGTCCGGTTGCACCTTGGGACATGTCTGCACAGGGACCCCAAACACATACACACACACACACACACACACACACACGTCAGTAACTCCAAGGTAGAGGCATGATGGGGGCAGGCACAAGATAAGCCTTGATCTAGCAAGTGAATGAACATAAGGTGGGACCTGACCCTAACTGTATGCAGAACGGGCCCGGCCTCTGCCAGGGAGGACACACTAATATGTGTCACCAAGATACAACTCTCACTTCACACAACCCCACAGAGCAGCTCTCACAGGGTAATATTGTTGTTGTTATGTGCCATCGAGTCCAACTCATAGTGACCCCTCCTTGGGTTTCCAAGGCAATATCACTACGGAAGTAGATTGGCCAACCTTCATTTCAAGGAGTGGCTGATAGGTTTGAATAGCCAGCCTTCTGGTTAGCAGTCAAGTGTCTTAGGCACTATGCTACCAGAGCTCCTTGAGTAATATTAGTTACAGAAAATAAATAAATAAATAACTTCCCATGGAGTGGATTCTCCTCGTGACCCCTGACCCCAAGTGTGTCAGTGTAGAACTGCATTCCGTAGGGTTGTCTTTCAAAAATATCACCAGGACTTTCTTTCTGTGAGGAGCCTCTGAGTGGACTCAATCCTCCAACCTTTTGGTTACCAGCTTAATCATCTGTTTAATTAATCAGTAGCTAATGTTTATTAAGCATTTGTAAATGCCAGGCAGCCACCCTGAGAGGTAAGTGCAATATTGTCCCGTTTCCAGATGAGGATACTGAGGTTCAGAGACATCATGGGACTTGCCCACCGTCTCGCAGCAAGGAAGTGGACGAGCCAATTAGAAACGGGAACTTTTGGCAGATTGACTGCAAAGTCCTAGTTCTGAACCAGTCCCCCCCACCACACTCACACCTCCAATCGCACACATTTACGTGCATGCAAAGTCCAGGCAAGCCGATAGGCAGAGGCGTCCAGTCAGGGCAAAGCTCATCTTCAGAGGTGCAAACTTCTCAGTGACACAAAACACGCAACTATTCCTTAGGACCCACCAAACAGGCCCACTCACACCTCTCGACCGTGCTCAGGTCTTCACTCTGGCTCGAGTACGTTTCCGCCCGCGGGCCCCACTCACCTCGTAACGCGAGACCCGAACACCGAGCACCGTCGGCAACAAGAAAAAGAGGAAGAGGAGAGATCCGAGCGGCTGCGGCGAGCAGTAGCTCATCCAAAGCCCCGCCGCGCGCCTGCCTCCGCCAGCGCCAACCCCCGCTGCCCGCGCTTCCCCGCTCATCGCCCAGCCTCCACTGCCGCCTGCCAGAGCTTCAGGACCCAGGCAGGGCATATGTCCCGCCCCCAGAACCTGGCCCGGCCAATCGGCGGAGGCGGAGGCGGGGCTAGAACGAAGACTGGCACCTCACGAGACTGAAGCTGTAGGCCTGGGTGCACTCTCATGAGGCCATAGCTCCGAGCGTCAGGCGGTCAGGCGGCCGGCGCTAGATAAGTCTTGCCCGCGGGTAGCTGGTTTTGTGTGAGCTGGCTCTAAAGAGGCCTCGGAATGACCCTTTGCCCTCATAGGGGCAAGTTTCAGACTTTCCTACGAGTGGCCTGGCCGGTATGCTGAGGTGTGTGTGCCCGCGCACGTGCATGGATGGGATCTATGAAGTGTCCCATCTACCTTCAGGGATGGAGTCATGGAGTGATCCAGATTGGCCAGCAACGGAGGTTAATGGGGATCCTATTCAGTCAGTGGGGATTAGGCGCTGGGAAAACAAACTGTCCTTGGAGTGCTAGGGATGGGAGGCACCCAGCCTGGTTGGTGGGGCTCCCTGGGTCCTCTGGTGTCGAATATCTATGTGTGGAGTGAGGCCTAACAGGTAGGGGAAGACCCTGAGCCTTTGACACACTTCCTAATTCCTACTACTCCAACCAGGTTACAGACATTCTCCCATTACCCTGCTAAGAAAACCAAACCCCAGATTCCTCAGGTCAGCAGGCCTATCTGCTGAGTTGCCAGAGGAGAGGTCACTGTCCTTATCTCTGGCTCCTGACTTCAGACAGGAGGCTTGTGACATGAATAAACTATGTGAAAGCTCTAGACCAGGGCCTCCACTCCAGGCTACAGACCTTCCCCCACTGGGAGGGGCATCCTCAATAGCACAGGAGACATTACAGTGAAGGGCTAAAGTGGAAAAACTTTATTAACTGATTTCAACAAGAAAGGAAGTGGAAGTGCCCAGAAACATAGACAGCATTTCCATCAGCAGCAGGCAGGGTGAGGGAGGAGGGCACAGGTGTAAGCCTAGCATGTTCACCTTCACCCTCGCAGAGGTAGGCCTCAGGGAAAGTGCCACGTTCTTCCATTCAGCTGAGAGCCCCAAGCCCACCTCACCCAAGGAAGCCCAAGACAAGAGCCGAAGGCAGGAAGCTGAGCTGCCAAAGGCCAGGCCTGGGGAAGGTGGATAGAGGGGATCCAGGATGTGACCCTTCTAATCTTCTAATCACCAAGGGGGTGTCATGGGCTGAGGATTCTGTAGATAGGACATCACCACAGCAGAGATGGACAGCCTGAGATGGAAGAGGTGTCAGTTAAGGCCCAGGACAAGTAGGCTTAAGTCTCTCCTTCCCCTACTCAGGGTCCCCTTTTTTCTGGTCCAACTCACATGAAACTACTCATCATCTGTTTGGTATCCTCTGAGCTCCGGGAATTGGCGAAGCTGATGAAAGAGCAGTAGACAGCGACCCAAGCACACCACTTCAGCTGTGGTGGGGTAAGTGGATGTGTGGGTTAGGTCAGTGAGAGACACCCCAGTGAGCCCCTGCAAGCCTCAGTTTCAGTGTTCCATTCTCAGGCAGCGGTTCCAACACTCTGATTCCAGCCATTTGCCATAGCTCACGCCTGTCTCCAGGAGTCCGTCAGGTCCCGCCCACTCATATCCTACTCCAAGTACCCGATCCTACTCCCTAACCTGTATTCTGACCCTACGACATCCTCTCAGACCCACGCAAACTGGTCCTTGAAGTGCCCTTCACGCTAAGGATCCCATCCTTTAGACATAAGCCTTCTCCAAGTTGCTTCTAAGTCTGGCCCCATTCTGAGACCGACCTCAGTATCCACTCCTGCCCTGTCTTTTCAGACCCAGAGCCATCCCAGCCCTTCCCCTTGGCTAAATTCAGATCCTGATTTGCAGGTAACCGGAGTACCAGATGTACTCTCGCGCTGGCCCCAGGCCAAGCTCAGGCCCCGCCCCTTCAGCGCCTGTCTTTCGTCGTGGTTTGAGAAAGAGCCCGCCCACCTTGAGCATCAGTCCGCACATGCTGAAGATCATGCCGAGTAAGTTCATGTAGTCCGGCGTCGGATCGTCCAAGGCCGGGTTACACTCACTCGGCGGAGGCTTGTACCTACGGCAAACTCAAAGGTCAGGGGAGCCCAAGTCCCGCCCCCCTAATGGATGAGTCCCTCAACTCCTACGCACAACCCAAGCCTCGTCGTCATCACGCCAGGGACCTCACCTCAGCACTTTGTTCGGCCTCCGTGGGTCTGACATACTGTTCGCAGACATAGCGAGGGGACAACTGGGGCGCGCCTCTTCCGCTGTGCAGTTGCAGCTTCCGGCGTGAGACTGGGGGTGGCTTTTCGAGTAACACACGCAGTCTTCTGCTTCCGTTCCTGGAGGCAGGGACTAGGACTCCTCCAACCAGAGGACCGGGCACTAGACGAGGTCAGAAATGCTCCTTGAAGACAGGAGAAGAGGGAAAAATCCTGAAAGCGAGCTTCAGTATTCCCATCTTTGTCCAAAAAGAAATTTTGAACTTGAAGTGAGAAACAGGAAGTAGGCCTTGCGGCACAATAATAAGGTTGCACCCAAGAGTGGGTTCTCAGGCATCAGAAACCTCATTAGAGGCTAATAGGGACCTCGGCGATATGGCTTTCCCTGAGCCAAAGCCGCGGGCCCCAGAGTTGCCGCAGAAAAGGTTGAAGACACTGGACTGCGGACAGGGGGCGGTGCGAGCTGTGCGGTTTAACGGTGAGTGCCTCCTTCATTCCGGGTTCTCCCCCCGCCTCCTGAAGCCTTGTAACCCCTGCTTGGTGTTCCCCAGTGGATGGCAATTACTGTCTGACATGCGGCAGCGATAAGACTCTGAAGCTGTGGAACCCGCTGCGGGGCACGCTACTGCGGACATACAGCGGCCATGGCTATGAGGTGCTGGACGCAGCCAGGTGAGCCAAGGGCCCGGCGGCATTGGCGCGCAGGGGCCGAGATCAGTGGTCGACGCTGACAGTCTCTGCCTTCACCTCCAGTTCCTTTGACAACAGCAGTCTTTGCTCCGGCGGCGGGGACAAGGCCGTGGTGCTGTGGGATGTAGCGTCAGGACAGGTCGTACGCAAATTTCGGGGCCACGCGGGGGTGAGTGCATTCAAGGAGAGCCTCATTAGAGTGTGGGTGGCGTAGGTAATAACAGGGACAAATACACACACAACCCCTGCTACAGCATAAGGCTCCTTCGCCTTCCCCAAATGGTCCGGCAAACACCCAGTCTTCCCCTTGCACTTCACCAAAAGCCTTCCACCTCCAGTGCCCCCTAGCGTTTGCCGTTGCTTTTACCTGTACGGAGAACCCTGCCTTTATCCCAAGGCTCCAAAGCCCAGCAGCCCCTCTGAATGGCAGTTTCTGTTCCTCAGAAGGTGAGCACGGTACAGTTCAACGAAGAGGCCACAGTGATCTTGTCTGGTGAGTCTGGGGCCCAGGCAGGAGGGCTTTGAGGGCTGCTCCCACTGTCTGAAACCTGACTGCACCCTCCTGCTGGCCTCATAGGCTCTATCGATTCCAGCGTCCGCTGTTGGGACTGCCGCTCCAGGAGGCCTGAGCCAGCGCAGACACTAGATGAGGCCAGGGATGGCATATCCAGTGTGAAGGTGTCGGACCATGAAGTCCTGGCAGGGTGAGTGGAGCCCCTGGGAAGCCTAGCTGCTGCTGCACTTAAATTAACATCTCTCCGCATTGCAGCTCACAGCAAGGTCTGGCTCCTGCTGACCTCTCAGCCTTTACGCACTTGTAGGCTTCATTTCTCGTAAACATGCTAGGCATGCTCCTACCTCAGGGCCTCTGCAGTTGCTCTTCCCTTGCCTAGTCTACCCTTCTGCTACTTACTCTAAATGTATTTGAGCACCTACTGTATACCAGGCACTTTCCTATTCACTGGCAACATACCAAACTAAAATCAAACTCACTGCCATCAAGTCGTTTCCGACTCATAGAGAGCCCCTCGCTATGGGTTTCCAAGGTGGCATCTCTGCAGAAGTAGATTGCCCCATCTTCCTTCCAAAGTGTGGCTGGTGTGTTTGAACCACCAACCTTCTGGTTAGCAGTCAAATGCCTTAGGCACTACGCTACCAGAGCCCCTACTGGCAATATAGCAGAGAATAAATGAGGGCAATTCTTGTCCACATAGGGTTGATAGTCTAGTTGCAGAAAACAAGCAATTAAAAAACATTCCCTATGCCAGGCCACTCAAGTGTTGCCACAGCCCAAGGGAATGCCATCCCCCTCACAGTGGGAGTTTGGGTCACCCGGCCTGTGTGGCCGGTCCTGTTCCCGAAGTACTGCATGTGCTGGCTCCTTCCCATCCTTCAAGTCCCACTTTACATGTCACCTCCGCGGGGAGGCCTCTCTATATCACTCTCCATCAGTGCCAGCTCTGTGATGGCAGAAACTATGCCTGCCTTGGTCACAACTATGTCTCAGGGTGCCACATAGAACCTGGCTCAGAGGAGGTGCTTGTACATATTTAAATCATCTCAGTAGATCCTCCTGATGCCCTTGTGAGGAAATGGCTGTTTCTGTGTCTCCATTAGGGATGAGGACATTGCATTCCCCTTGGGCTCTGGAGCCACACTCAGCCAGCCAAGTGCCTTATGAGCCGTGGCCTAGCCCTTTGCCATGATCGGCCTGACTCACCCTTCCACTCATTCGTCCAGGATCCAAGGCCCAGTCTGGGAGCTGGGAACAGGGCTGAGAATGAGACAGACCTGGTTCCTGCCCTTGGCAAGCTCCCCTAGTAGGGCAGACAATCTAAACAAATTAGTGCAACTACTTTAATTCAAACAGAGGTGTGACAAAAAAAGATGGGATTGTCTGAAAAATTAACTTGAGGGTGTTTTAGTCATCAGGGAGGCAAAAGGGAGCTCTGGTGGTGTAGCGCCTAAGGCATTTTGACTGCTAACCAGAAGGCTGGCAGTTCAAACCCAGCAGCCACTCCTCAGAAGGAAGATTAGGCAATCTACTTCCATAGAGATTCCATCTCAGAAACACAAGGAGGGGTTGCTGAGTCAGGACCCACTCAACAGCAGTGACTTTGGTTTATTTTTTTTTTTTGAGATACAGTGCTTAAGGCCTTTGACTGCTGACCAGAAGAATGGCAGTTCAAACCCACCAGCCACTCCTCAGAGGGAAGGTGGGGCGATCTACTTCCATAAAGATTTACCACCTCAGAAACCCAAAGGGGATTGCTGTGAGTCAGAATCGAATCAATGGCAGTGAGTTTGATTTTTTGGTTTAGGGAGGCAAGGAAGACCACGTAAAAGCTGAGACTTAAAGGAGGAGAAGCCACCCGGGGGGAGGTCTTGGGGAACAGCAAGTATAAAAGCACCACAGTAGGGAGGGACATGTTGGGGGCGGCCCAACGGCGGATGCCTCACAGGAAAGGGGCAAGAGGTAAGCATGGGGGTTGTTAGCAGCTGGACTGTAGGGGGTCTGAAGGGCCACAGGAAGAATTTGGATGTTTTTCTGAGAATAATGGAATCCATGTTTGTTTGAAAGAGGCATTGGCTCCAAGTGATTACTTTCAAAAGTGCTCCCTCTGGTGGCTGTGGCAAGGAGACCACGGGGTCTTCAGGGTAGATTCAGGGAGACCAGAGCAGTCAGATTCTGGGGGTACTTTGCAGAAAGAGCTAGAAGAGTGCAGGAAAAGGAGGATCCAGAAGGACTCCAAGGGTTTGGTCTAAAACACTGACAAGAAGCCAAAGGGATGGAGTGGGGTTGATGGGGCTGAGTCTCAAAAGCCTCAGAGTCGCCCTGATGAATTCAATTCATTTCAGCACATTTTCCCATGGCGGTGAAGGGTGCACAGGAAGAGCGGGCCCTGCTTTGCCCTCAGGACCCTAGCGCAGGAAAGAGAGATGAGTCAGGGAAACCAAGGCTGCTTCAGCTCAATCCATCTTCTCCTACAGCTCCGTGGACGGCCGGGTGAGGCGTTATGACCTGAGGACTGGGCATCTCTTCTCAGACTACGTGGGCAGTAAGTGTGGCCCAGGGCTGGTGGGGCAGGCAGGGCAGAGAAGGGCATGACAAGGGGACCCCAGACTCATTCACAAGCCCTCCCCTCCCCCCAGGCCCCATCACCTGCATCTGCTTCAGCCGGGACGGGCAGTGCACCCTGGTGTCCAGCCTAGACTCCACATTGCGGCTTCTAGACAAAGACACGGGGGAGCTGCTGGGCGAGTGAGTCCTTTGGGTTGTGGGGCCCCTTCCCGCCACCCCTGCCCCTGATGAGGCCCAAGCTCCCTTGCCACTGCCCATCTCCAGGTACACAGGCCACAAGAACCAGAAGTACAAGCTGGACTGCTGCCTGAGCGAGCGTGACACACACGTGGTCAGCTGCTCTGAGGATGGCAAGGTGTTCTTTTGGGACCTGGTGGAGGTGAGCCACCCCCCCACACACACACACACACACATTCCATCTTTACCCCAGTCACTCCCGAGTCTGAAAAAGATAATGGATGTTAGAGCTTGGATCTTGAAGGGTGGCACAGGAAGGGCATCCCAGGCAAAGGGAAGAGCTGTGTGCTAAAGCCTGGAGGTTGAACACACGTCAGTAGGAAACAGAGCAAAGTCACAGTGGCAGAACCACATCAGGCAGGGCTGTGGATGCCACGCTGAAGAGCTGGGACAGACAGGGTGAGACAGGCTGTAATTGCTCAGGAATCCTGAACTACATCTGAGCAATGCCATGGTTCCCAGCCCTGTCCTTGGGGAATCCCAGACTGATGGGGCAGTCAGGTGGGAACAGGCCATTCCAGCTCGGACCACCAGGGCTAAGGAGCTTCAAGGAAGGCAGCGTCAGCCCTGGGGATTGGCCAGGAGAACTGGGTCTCCTAAGAGGGTGGAAGGACCTGGGAGACCCTGGAGACTTAAGGGACCAGCTCTCACTGTGGAAACTAAACGGAGAGTGCAGATGTGCCACTTCTTGAGGGCCCGACATGAAGGCACCCTGGAGGAGATCACATGGAGAACATTTTTGGGTATGGAAAGAGGAATTGGGGTTTACTTGAGGAAATGCACAGGTTACGCTGAGACTGCAGGATGAGGGAAGCGAGAAGCACTGAGGCTGCAGACACGCGGAGGGGGCCTGGACAGCAGCAGGGGGCGGGGAAGCTGGAGCAGGGCGGTGGCCATGAAGGTGCAGTCTGGACAGCCTCTGGACATGTCCTAAAGCAGAGCCAACAGGATTAACTGCAAAGAGGAGTGAAACGGGAGATTTCCAAGATGTTTTGGCCTGAGCACCTGGCCGGATGGTGCTACTAGGAGCTCGGTTTTGGACAGATGAAGTTTGTGTGTCTGGAGAGCAGTTAGGGTAGACCTCTGAAGGCCAGAGGAGGGGTGTGACTGGATGTGGCAGCTCAACTGAAGGAGGAAAAGCTTGGGGAACCTGAGGGCCACTAATAACCACCCCCACTCCCTTGCCCCACAGGGTGCACTCGTACTGGCCCTGCCTGTGGGATCCGGCGTGGTGCAGTCGCTGGCCTTCCACCCCACTGAGCCCTGCCTGCTGACGGCCATGGGGGGCAGCATCCAGTGCTGGCGGGAGGAGGCCTACAAGGCTGAAGGTGGAGCTGGCTGAAGTCAGGGGGCACCTCCCCCAAAGCCAGACACAGACTCAAAAGGAAACCTGAGACCATTTATTCTGGACACAGTGCTGACCAGGGAGGGCCCAGGGGCTGGGTTTTCAAACTAATAAATAGAGGTGTGAGGCCTCCCTGGGGCATCAGCTGCTTAGTCCTCATTCTTCTCAGGCGTGAAGGCATCTACCTTCTGGGCAAAGGTTTCAGCCACAAGCAGGGGGAAGACCAGGGAGGCATCAGCATAAACCTGTTGAGTGGACCCAGGTGAGCCATGGGTTCCATGGCCACAGCCACAGAGACCCTCACCCACCAGCAGGCCCTCACCTTGACAGGCTGTGCATCCACCCGGATTTTGCCCCAGGAGACCGCCTCATCTGGCCGGGCACCTGAGTCAGAGCCATCAAACTCCTGGGCCGTGTTGATATAGACTGAATAGTCAGCCCCGTTCCGCTGTGGAGAGGAGCAGTGCAGGAGGTGAGCCAATCATAGGAGACAGAGAGATGAACACCACCATGGCCAGAGACGCAGGAGGGATGGGGCTTGTGGCTAAGGGATATGTTCCTGAAGAAGGAAGCCCTTAGCGTCCTTTGCTCCCAGGTGAGAAACCCTTGCCTGAGCAAAGTGAGGGGTCCAGGGCTGGACAGACGATGGGCATCATTTCACCAGACTCGCCTAGGACCTGGTGTGAACAATCCTCCCACCATCTGGTCAGCAGCAGCCGCCACCAGTGCTGTCTCCAGAATCCCTCCAAACCCAACCACTTCCCCCTTCACAGCCTCCACCAGGTCCTACCATCACCACCACTGTCCAGGACCAGCTTAGTCTTCTCTCCTGGTCTCCCTTGCCCCTTTACAGTCTGTTGCCTCTGCAGCAGCCAGAGGGTGTCTGGGAAGAGCTGGGTCCAGGCATGTCCCTTTGCTCAGAACCTTTCAGGGCTCCCGCTTCACTCAGAGCAAAAACCAAAGTCCTCCCTGCAGCCCACAAGGCCTCACATGACTTACCCCATCACCTCCCTGCTCTCATCTCCCTCAACTCTTCGGCCTGCTGGCCACCTAGCTCTTCTACTTTGGTGACTCTGTCCAGAGCTCTTCCCCTAGACAACCACATGACTCATGGGAGGCGCCTATAAAGCTTTGCTCCCAGGCCCCATTTCTTGGATAGGCTTCCCTCAAGCACTCCTTATTGAATAACACCCCATCTCTGGCCATGCCATCACCCAGCCTTATTTTTCTCCATAGCAGTTACTGCCATCTGACATACATGTCCCTGACTGGCTGTCCCTGGAGGGCAGGTATCCCTGCCTGTCTAGTCCATAGCTGTCTCCCCAGTGTGTGGCATACGGCCTAGCACACAGGTGAGTTTGTGCCACCCCTACTGTGTACTGGGTACACGCACCATCCCCCAGTCTGCACCCCCCAGGCCCACTCACCATGAGGTTGGCATTGGCAATGTGGTGCTTGACCAGGCCCCCACCCAGGATGATCATTCCAGAGCGCTTGGCAAAGATGGCCTGTGTGTTGATGAGCCTCAGGTCTGGGGGACAAGGGGCTGTGGTCAGGCCCTGGACACAGCCCACCCTCCCATGCCCCTTCCACAGTGGCCCCAGCACCTCACCCTCAACGATGTCCAGGACCAGGCCAGGGTTCTTGTAGGAATGGAAGAAGATCATGTCGCCCAGCGAGCCATCTGTGAGTGCTGGGCTCAGCACAGGGATGTGGTTCTGGGGAGGGCAGGGCTGGGAGTTCAGCACTGGGAGCAACCTCGTCTTTGTCCCTGATGCACCCCCTGCTCTTGCCTAATTGTGGGCAAGGTGCTTAACTTTTCTGGGCCTTCCTTAGTTTCCTCAGTTGTCAAATGAGGATAATGCCATCTCCCCCAAATGAGGCACATATGAGATAACCCACACAAAATACTTGGGACAATATCTAGCACATAAAGAGAAATTCTTGTTATTGTTCAAGACTGCTGGACCTTGTAGCCTCTGATAGGTTGCTACGTGCTGCCCCGACTTCATACCAGAACTCTACTTGGTAGCTATGTGACCTCAGACAAGTTACTTAAGTCCTGTGTCTCAAGTTCCCTATCTGTAGCATGGAGTGATTCGCATAACAGCACTGATTGCCTGCACTGACTCTCCGGGAGGGTTGCTGCCCTGCCCCCACCCAGCTCCTCACCTTCTGGGCCCAGTAATACACCGACTCTGGATTGTTGATCTCCTTGCCAAGCCGGGCAATCATCTTGGATGGTGTCCACTTCACACCCTAGGAGGGGACAGCAGCTTTAGCAGGCGCTGACCCTGGCAGCCACCGTGTCTACCCCCAAGGCTGCCCCGGCCCCACCTCTGTGTTCTGCTCTAGCACCATCTGGTCCAGAATGGGCATCAGCCAGTCCTCAAACTTGCAGTAATTGTCATTGGGCACCAGTAAGTTCCCAATCCTGAGGGCAGGAGGAAGGTGGCTGTCGAGACCTGGACCCTTGGCCCAGTCCCCCAGCCAGCACTGCCTAGGTCTCCCTACCTGTTGATCCCATTCTCCCGGAGCTCCTTTCCCCTGAGGCTAAACTCGCCCAGGTACGTGGGTGCCAGACACTTGATGAGATCCTCCTCCACACCCCCAGCCGTGGTCACCAGGACATCCACCTGCAGCCAGTAGACAGCAAAGTTGGCCAGGAAAGAGGACTCTGTCCTCATGCCTAGCAACCCTCCAAAACGCTGACCCTCAACTAATGACCCTTAGAGGGGGACTTGGATGCAAAACAAACTCACTCCTTGAAATTGATACATATCACCCCATCTCACTTAAATAATAACTGTATTCCCCACTGCAACCCAGAGAGGCCAAAGCCACAGCCCCACCAAGTCCCCACCATGTTGTGCTGTACGAGGTAACGGATGGTCTCACGGATGCCTGAGCTGATGAGGTTGGATGTGTAGCCCAGGAATATGGTACAGCCAGTGAGTGGACGGCGGCTCTGGGTCAGGTCTGCATGCTGGTCCTCCTCCTCTGACAGTGGCTCCAGCTTCTTCTCAATCTGGATGTAGGGGCCAGATGAGCTGAACTGAGGCTCCAAACCCCAGCTCAAGGGCCCCAGATGGATTCCAGAGTAAGACTCCACCCCCAGGCCCTGCTCACTCAGGGATACAAGAATACTTTTATGTGGGTTGAAGGAAGGCCCTCTGTGCTGCCCCAACCACCCTCCCACCTGGACCTCAAGTCATAAGCTGAGGCTTTACCCGTTTTAGAAAGTAACCCCTTTGCAAATTGGTCCCCTTCCCAGCTGGAAGTGCAAACTCAAATTCTTTATGAATAGCAGGGAAACACTGTCTGACCCAGTGCTGGAAGATGAGCCCCTCAGATTGGAAGGCAAGAAGGTGGCTTCCAAATACAACTGGAGAAGAGATGACACTTCAAAGTAGAGTCAACTTTAATATGAGAAGAAACAGCTGCAAATACTCATTAATAATCCTCACAATTGGACCAATTTAGTAACATCACAATAAATTGAGAAAAGATTAAAGTTTCAAAGATTTCATTTCACTTGTATCAACAACGAACACCCATGGAAGCAGCAGTCAAGAAATCAGACATCATATTGCACTGGGCAAATGTGCTGCAAAAGACCTTTTTTAAGTGTTAAGGAGCAAAGATGTCATTTTGAAGGCAAAGATACGCCTAACCCAAGCCAGGTACTTTCAATTGCCTCCTATGCATCCTATGCATATGAAAGCTAGACAATGAAGGAGGAAGACAGACGAACTGATGCCTTTGGATTGTGCTGGCAAATAATACTGGAAATACCATGGACTAAGAGAACAAACAAATCTGTCCTGGACAAAGTGCAGCCAGAATGCTCCTTAGAAGTGAGAATGGCCAGTCTTCGTCTCACCTACTTTGGTCATGTTGTCAGAAGGGACCACTCCCTGGAGAAAAATACCATGTTTGGTAAAGTGAAGGGGCTGCAAAAAAAGGGGAAGACCCTAAATGAGATGGATTGACAGTAGCTGCAACAATGGGCTCAAGCACAGCAAGTACTGTGAGGATGGTGCACAACCCAGCAGTGTTTCATTCTTTTTTTTGTAGGTAGGGTCGTTTTCAGTCGGCGTTCGGTGGAAGACACTAACAGCAGCCTCCAAACACAAAACTCGCTGCCCCCTCCTTGGGTTTCCGAGGTGATATCACTACAGATATCACTACAGACTGGTTGGAACCGCCAGTCTTCTGGTTGGCAGTCAAATGCCTTAGGCACCATACTACCAGAGCTCCCAACAACCGCCCAGAAGCAGGCCCCAACTCTTCTACTAGGCGTTCCCCCCAACACAGCTACTGGCCCAAGATACACCCGCCTCTCTCCATCTACTGGCCCGCTCAACTGAAGCCCCGCCCCCTCCAAGAACTGCACTGTTCCTACCGGAGACCACACCCCTCCCCGGCACGGGAAGTCCCGCCCCATGCCTCACCATGGCTTTGACTTGCTGTACGGCGCGCCCGAAGTTGGTGGCCTGGAAGCCGGTAGTGCCGAAGGCCTCTAGCAACGCGCGGTAGTCCACACCGCGGTTGAAGTCATAGCCCCGGACCTGGGCACTCTCGGGAGGCAGCGCCGAGCTGTGCTTCAGCACAGCAGCCAGCGCCGCTGCGGGTGCCTCCCCCTCTGAAGGGCCCTCCATGCGCCTACGGCCGCGCTCTCAAGCCAGCGCCGCACTCGACCAAGCCTCCGGCGGCTGCGCAGGAAGTGAAGTTTGGGCAGAAACCTGGAGAAAAAGGCCGGATGTTGCTCAGTCCCATGATCCTCTTCGGAAGCTGGGAGTACAGGATGCAGCCATCTTTGCGACGCTGTCCGTAATACGGAAGCCGTGAGGAATCTTCATTTTCTGTTTCGCTTGTTCTTGGCCTCAGTTAAATAATTTTTTATCTTTACTGCCACCTGCTGGAGACCCATCGCGTTGCATGACGCTTGCCCTGTCCATGTCTGCCCCCTAGAGGATACTTCTTAGGTGTCGCCCTTGGACAAGATTTGGGTCACCAGGCAGGATCAGACACACTTTCTTGACTCTGAATCTCTTGTCAAATGGTATAATGATCCCTGCTGTGCCCTCGCAACTCTCCAGAGCCTGCCCGTGCATTATAACCCTCAGTTCTTCAGCGCCTCACGCCCCGCCCCCAGCTGTGGCTGTCACTTCCTCTAGGAATCCTTGCTGACTTTCTGGACTGGTCAGGGCCTCCTCTGGGATCCAAAGCTGTCATCTTCTCCTCTTCCTCCCCTAGAGAAAGTGTGAGACCTTTGAACGTGTATATCATGCATCCGCCTAACTGTGCAGAGGGTCTGATCCACAGGAAGTCCCTTTATTTGTTCTCTATACAGTGTACAGAGGCCACACTAGGCATTGGGCTTCGCACTAGGCACTGCCATTTTATCGGTGAACAAAACACCTGCAGCCCACAGTCTCATTGGAGAGCTAGTACAACACTGGTTAGGAAAGGACACAAAGGGTGACATTTGATCCAAGATCAGAGGCTGAGAAAGGACCCGCTATGTGAAAATGTGTGTGTGTGTGGGGTGGCTTCCAGGAGAGAGAACTACCAGTGCAAAGGCCGTGAGCCTGGAAGCAAACCCACCTTACTGGAAAAAGAGAGCTCCTCCTTGACATCCCCACAAGGCCCTAAAACTCTCCACCTTGGTTTCCTCCTCACCTACACCTGATCCCCTGTGGTCATCCTCTTTTTAGCAAATGGCCCTACCCTCCACTCTATTTGGCTGAACACTGAGGCATTGAATTTAATGTCTCCCTTTCTCTCAAGCTCCCACGCATCCATCAGCATGTCTGCTAAGCTTAACCTACAAAATAGGCCCCAAATCCAGGCATTTTTCTCTGTCCCCATGACCCCCATGCTAGGTTTCCTCCCCTCAAATGTCTCCCAGCAGTGGCCAGAGAGCTCTTCTGTAGAAATAAATCAGACACATCATTCCTCATTAAAACCCTCTAATGGTGGCTTCCCCCTTGCAGAACCTGCCAACCTCCTTGTCCCATGTCCCCCACATTTGCCCTTCCTCACTCCTCTTCAGCTACCCCCACCCTCTGTGCCACTCCTGGAATATGCCAAGCTCTTTCCTGACCAACGGCCAACACACCTGCTGCTCTTGCTGCCTGGAACACTCCTTCTGTAGCACCTCCTTCCAGTCAAGGCTCAAATGTCACCTCCCCAAGAAGCCCTCCCCGCCCACCCCCTTCTTGCCCTCACCTTGCTTCTATACATGTATGCGTGTGCACATTATAAGGTGTCTTTTGTTTGTCCACCCACCCCACCCCCGCTAGAATGGCCACTGCGTGAGGGAAGCCTTTGCCTTGCTTCACTTTTGCTCTTCCTGCTCTTGGAGCAGTGTCCAGCGAATATTAGGATCTCAGCAAATACGCTGAATGTATGAATGACCACAAGGGTGTCAGGGTGGTCAATGAGGAATGAGAGAGGAAGGATGCCAATAGGAGATGAACTCAAAGACCAGGCAGGTCCCTGTGTGTGGAAGTGAGGAGGAAGAATCTTAGTCTAAGGGCCTAGGAAGCCATTGGAAAGTTTTAAGAAACTGTTTGAGAGATTCTGATTTTTTTTTTTTTTTTTTT